TAAAAAGAATAAAATAGCTAGGTCAGGGTTTGCAAGTAGTTGTATAAGAGTGTTTGGCAGTCCTAGGTAATTGGTGAAATGAGTCTGAAGCAAGTGTGAGATGAAATCTGCAAAATTCGAGCTTTTTTTGTGACTCGTTGGAACAAAAAGTCGAGGGTTTCTTTTTTGAAGCAACCTCCGGAAAGTATTGGAAGAGTCAGAAGATTTGCATATGATTAAAAAGTGATCATATGTTAATTTCAAGAAGTGCTCATTTTCACGTATTCTTCTCGATTCAGAGAGTTGTTGGCAAATGAATTATTCTTTCTAAATGAATTATTCTAAAACTTTGTTCCTAGGTTCCTGCTGAAGCGAATGGAGATTGGACGCCAGGAAAACTGCATATCTCAGCGCCAAGTATGTATGCTACGGTCTTGGAAAAACTAGACTTGCATCCTGGTCACGCGTTCCTTAACATTGGGTCTGGGACAGGATGGCTCAGCACCGCCGCGGGGTTCCTGATCGGTGGGTTTTGTGGTATATTATAAAAATGTTAATCTGGTGGCCGCAGTAAATATCTTGAGCAGCTTAGTTTGGAAGAGATTTAGATATTCTTTTAAATAACTGTTTATGAGCTTGTTGCTGGTGGCACACTCTTTAACGTTCTTTTCGAAGAGACGCCTAAATATTATTGACTTGTTTTTGGCGAAAAGAAGGGAAGAAAGAAGCATATGAGTAAGTGTCACTGATCGTACAGAAAACATTTTGTACAACTATTCTCTTTGCCTCTTCACAGTTCTTTCCTCTTTAATGCATTTTTAAAGTGCCAGTCAGTAATTTTCAGCGTCAGTTCCCCAAATCTGTGAATTCGCAAACCTTTTCGTTGACTAAATTACAAGAATAACCTTGCTTATTCATGAATCAACAGGGTTAGATTAGTGAGGTCTATCACAAGCAGCGGGGTATGCACTTCTGCCCACCAACCACTTTTCAACTCTCTGGTCTAACCACTGTCAGACCTTCTTGTGAGGACAAAAGCATTGATTTGAAGAACGGCTTCTCTCCTAAGTTACTATACTACACTAATTCAAATTCCATCGTGAAATTGCAAGTGCTGCATACCCACGGATGAATCGAAGCAAGAAAAAATTTGGTTATTTTTCTTTTCCAATACAGCTAGCCTTCAAAAATTCCTTCTCTCAAGAAGAATCCAATGTTTCTTTTTAATAATTGCAGGACCTTTTGCATTTTTAGGCGGATCGGGCGTTAATCATGGAGTGGAGATACACGAGAATTTGATCAAATTCGCTGAGGACCGACTCGCGGAAACCATATTACTTCCTGAAGTCAGCGCCTTCAATTGGGCCAAGCCAGCGTAAGCAGTTAATGGCATTATCAAGTTGTCTTCTAGTCACATAATTTCAGATTTTTTCATGGTAATGGCCTTGCCCAAGAACTTTCGCATTCAAAACACTTCTATGACCGTGTGTACTGCGGCGCGGCTGTTACAGAATTACAGACGATAGCCCATCTCATTAAACTTTTGGAAATTGGCGGGAAACTTATTGTTCCGTTTAGAAATAGCGTAAGCAACTGCTGTAATATATTACATACAATATAGATTACTCAAATTTGCAGCTGACTGCATACACACGTACAGCAGAAACTGCTTATTCCTCTGAAGTTCTAATGGCTTGTCAATTTGCCGACTTGCTCCCTCCGAAACCCGATGATCGGACCGATTGCCTTCCCTGCGTTATACGGTTGCTTTTCTTCTTTTTTTTCACACTCCAAAGCACACTTTCATAATAGCACCCTTTCAGGCCTCCGTCGTTGGCTGACCACTGCCGAAATGTAATTCGCGAAAGTCTTCGGAAAAAAGTTATGGAGAGCTATCCTGTTTTCATGCGAAGCATAGTTGATACGGAGGGAGCCTTTGGGTACGCTTACATCCTTTTATCACTCCTTGTACTAGTTAGTCCTCTGTCAGCAACTTGAATGAGGTGAGTTGACTAAGTTATATGTTCGACGTAAATGCATCACAACTACTCCACCATCTTGATAGCCTTTCAAAGCTTTTTTGGACCTTCTTATTTTATAAATAGACTATAAATCTCGTATTTTGCAAAAAAAAATCCCATATCAGTTGGACTTTTTACGGTGCTAGAATGCACACGGGAAGATTCAGTTACACTTTTTTTCCGGGTGTACTACCTTCGCATAAGTTCGTATGCTCACGGTATAAGGCTGATTCCGTCTCGCTCCATTAAATTCTGCCTTCTTTCTACACATACTCTTTAAAATATTACTCAGCAGATGCAGGTCAACAGAACACATCAGAATTATATGCTAGCATCCTTGATCCATTCTCATTTGCTTTTCCACCTTCTTATCTTCCACCATTTCCCATCCATTCTTCCATAAGTGAGGCATTTGCATTTACTTTCACATCAAATTGAACGGGAAAAGTACTCATAAGTGGATTTTCCTTTAAAAAGAACAACTTCCATATCATCTTAAAAGTTAAAAAGGCGAGTGTTTTGTCTACATGTGGCCTTTTAACGATATATACGCTTCATTATACTAAGAAAACTAATTACTTCCTATAAGCTGCTCATTGTCTCCTTGTTACGCGCGGTTCGTGCGCAACCTTATTTCCAACCGGCCTTACACTTTGATGGGTATACATTGTTGACTTGTTATTACGTTGGCATCCATCTATCTTGAACTATTCATTCTTCTTACAATACTTTATTATTGACGAATGTAATGACATTTTTTGAACAAATTCTTATTTTGGCATCTGGTAACATCTTCATCTTGTCGCTCTTTTTTCATGTTACACACGTGTTCCGCCTTTTCGCTTCTGATTTCGTAAGAATGGTATTTTGATGCAACATTGCCGTTTTTAGCAACATTTTCTCATATTATTCGCTATTTATATCTTTTTCCTCAGTTGACTAAATTAACATTCAGGTGCCGAATTAGTCTATCAAGCAGTATTTTTCAGTTATAAAACGATGAAATAAGAACATGACCGCTCTAGGGGAGAAAAGCTATCAAAAATGGCCTATCTAAATTGTTGGCTTAACTTTTGTGATTTCCTAAGTATTGTTCAAATTGTTTCTTCTTTTTGTAAGTCTTGCTGGAAAAAAA